AAGAAGAATCGAGCACCGGAACAATTCGTTTATTATCCTGAGCTTTCAGACTCGTACAGGAGTCCATCGTCAGAGGTAGTGGCAGAAACAGGACAAGCGGCAGTTATAAGGCACGTAGACCCAATCATCGACCGACGTCGCACGACCGGAGGTGACTACGAAGGGCTAGGTTTATTACAGCGTCCCTTGAACAATCTCAGTCTCCTTTGAAACACAGGAGAAACCTAAAACAAACTCGTTCATTTCGACAACACTTTGACTTCGTTCATTTCGGGTGTCTGTTAAGCCAATAGAGCGCGATTTGAAGGTTTGTCTTAGGTGAAAAACCTGAGTCACAAGGAAAAATAATCGCAAACGTTTTAAAAAAGAACGATAAGTACAATATAAAAATTGAAGTGTGCAGTTTGGTAGTTTCTGGGGAGCATGAATAATATGTATCGGCCTGACAGCAGTGCTGAGTAGAAAAATCTCCAGTAGATGGCGTTTTTTGGTGGTTTCTGTGGTGTTATCACGGGTGACCGGTAAATGCATTTTTAAATTTTCTCGGCATGTGTCCTACCCACAGCGCCTTCTGGATAAGCCAGGCAAGTTCTTTACGCACTCGGCTGTAACCGTGTGTCTAATATTGTTTTCCTGTCAGGTTTTAAATTAGGGTCGAGGGTGTTCCTGGCCAACATGTGTAAATATGTTACAGGATTCGCGTTATGTTGGTTACTATAACACCTCCAGGATGATTTCACCACCAGGAATATTCGAGCGAATCATATGCTTTTCTGCAGGCCAAACAGGCATACTTACATGCTACAACTAAATGAAAATTTAATATATTTAGTAGCATCGAAAAGTGTGCAGTCCGAAACACGTGGTAATGACACATATACGGACTAGTCTGCGGAGAACAGCATTAAAGTGGCGGGTCACCCTTTGTACATCGACTGCCTGACCGGCAGATCCAGACTACTCCACAGGGCAGAACAGTGGGCTGGGTTGAGCAGCCTGTCTAGTTGACAGGCGCGACCCGTCGCATAATCGGGTTAGCAGTTGTCCTAGGTTTCAACATGTCTAGTCAACATTTTAATTGACAGGAAAGCACCAAAGTTTTATTTCAGCGGTTTCTTGCTAGTAGAGTCACCTGAGCCATTGACTGACGCGGGAAAAGCGTTTTCTTCGTAAGATGGTGATTCAAACACTATTTGGCGCATATTATTTCCTTTGCCGTAGCGATATATTTCTGGCACAATGTTTAAGTTTTAATATTTTCTTATCAATAAGTTGTATCCGCGGAAAATTGATAAAACCTGGGTTTTCTGGTCGTCGGTAATCTGGCAAATTTACTTTTATACTTCCATCACACTGGAGCAGTTTTCATTTAAAGTAGCGTTGTCTATACCCCCAGAATCATAAGAAATTCGATTTGAGGTTATTTACAACGAAATGTCTTTTACGAGAGCAGTGCCTTACTCAATAATCCATGTGCAAGTGGCTTTATATAAGTAAAAACTCGACGCTACAATGAACACCACTAAATACGATGCGGCGCGATATCCAACTTAAATATAACGGCAAAACATATTCAGGTTAATTTGATGCCATACAAACAGCACAGGTACTGGCCCAAAGCCAATAAACACGTCTCGCCGATATTCTGCCGCTGCATGGCGCATCCGCGAGGGGTTCGTCTCGTCAGCCAGTCCCCCATCACCACCTGTGCGTTTTCTGGTAGATACTCCAATCTAGAAATTGTCGCTTTTATATTTCCTCAGAAATTATCTACGAACTTGGATTCAATCAGTTTAGTCAAGGTCTATGGGTTCAGACCGATAATTGTATGTATGAATATTTGGGGCAAAGTCCATCAGCCATAGCCGGTAACCGTGTAATTTTAATTAACTGCCGACAGGCAGCTAGTAGTATACTTTAGGTTAATGTGATACCATACTGTTATATCACCCATGAGTATGATACCAATTGGGTGCGGAATAAGAGACAGAGAGGATACCAGAGACTAGTTTTACTGTGTCAGGCACCACTGTGTACATTAACTCCTACTCTTCTGTCCATGTCTTTTTTTTTTACGCCCAAGGTCAAAGTCAAGGCGCGCAACTCAATTTCAAAGATAAGTGAAGCTTTGCGTCTTTCGGTGAGTTCGTATTTTTCTAGAGAAAAGTTTCGAGACATTTAACGAATGGTTTTCGGTAAACTGGATATCTTCGGCTAGCTTTTTTCTTCAGACAATCTCTTAGCTCGATCAAAAATATCACAAATTAAGGGCAGAACAGAAACATCGTTCTGACGATGGAAACGACGATAAAGCCTGCGCAATCTGCGACGAAAGGGTAAGGGTAGGAAAACCTCA